CGGCTTTCCAGCAGGATATATCAGGTCTTGGCTGTGTGGTCAGCCCGAAGTCTCTTGCCGTTGCCTCGTCTGTGGAGTTGCAGCGACTCCTTCAAGATGAGTTTAAGAAGCATGGAGTTTCCATCACTTTCTCGCCCAGTGTGAAAGACCTGGGCACAGTCACCTCAGCTGGCCGAAGGCGCACTGCTTGGAAATCATATGAAAGACGTGCTATCGCTTTCCGACGTGGTCGTAAGCTGTCCTACCTTGCAAGGTTGTGTGGAGCTTCGCGTAAGGTCTTCAAGCCTGGCATCCTCTCAGTGGGCTCTTGGGGGCATGCTATGTCTGGACTTCCACCTGGAATATTGAAGCAGTTTAGAGGCTCCGCGGCTTCCTGTTCGGGGTTCTGGTCGTCGGGGGCATGTACTACCAGTGTATTGCGAGTATTGCATGATACTAAAGATGACCCTGTCTATAGGCTACGTGTTGAACAACTTACCCTAATTTCGGAGGTGTGGTCATCTTTGTCTGAAGGGTTGCGCAGTGGAGCTCGGAAGGTCTGGTCTCAATTGCATGCGACGGTTGGCCGTGCTCGTGAGTCTGACCGTTGGCGACTCGTTCGCGGTCCCATCGCTGCTTTGTATGCTACTGTCTTGGACCTAGGATGGCAACCCTCCCACATCGATGAGTGGATAGTGGAAGGCAGAGCTCCCCTAAGAATGGATCGTATTGATTTTCGGTATCATGTCACCTCCTGTGTCCGAGAGAGTTGCTCTGCCGCAATATGGTCTGCCGCTAGTCAGCATTGGTGTGGGCAAGGTCTCTCTTCTGGTGCTGACTTCTCTGTTTTTCGTTCCAAGCACAAGAAGCTGCTGGATGAAGGTGATTTCAAGAATGCTGCACTCTTGACCACCATTGTTGTTGGAGGATGCTGGCCTGAAAGTCGGCTACAAGACGCTGGCTACCGTACAACAGGCCGTTGCTTCCGATGTGGAGATGATAAAGAAACTCCGTTGCATCGGGCTTGGCAGTGCCCGTGCAATTCTTACCTACCCGACCCCGCCGTTGCTGAAAGCGAGTATTTGGTTCCTGAGGCCCTTGGTGCTGACCCTCAGAGTGCCTTCTTCACGCGTGGGCTTCCTAGCTGGGACGCTACCTGTGGGCACCTGCCGTCCCCGAAGGAGCTCCTGTGGGCCTGGGGTCCCCTACGTGTCCAGCATCGTGTCGTCGGAGGTATTTGGGGCCTTGATGGCTCTGGAGGTGTATATGCCAAGGACAAGAGGTTACGACGTTGTGCTTGGTCTATTGTGTGCTTGGGTGATCCAGATGGGCTCTCTTTGCAGTTATCTACAGTCCTCTGCGGCACCCTACCTACTCCTGAACAATCCAGTCCGAGGTCTGAGTTGTATGCCTTCCTGACAGTCCTATTACGAACAAGTGGTGATATCGTATGTTATTCTGATTACCTGCCCCTGGTCAAAGGGGTCAGGCAGCCACGGGCTCAGGTGATGGCGAACAGCTCGATGCTCGATCTCTGGGCTCTGATCTGGAATGCGATCGATGATCGGGGCCCTGGTCAGGTTGACGTCATTTGGACCAAGAGCCACGCCTCGGCCCAACAGAGGGCCCATTATTCAATCTGTGATGTAGAGTATTTTTTGAACTTTTGTGCTGATTTCTTCGCGGGCCGGGCGGCTGAGAGGGCTGCCCCCACTGATGAGCAAGTTGAAACTACTAGATTTGTTGATCGTATTACTAGTCACACGCTGGACCGCCTGCTGGCGGTCCATAAGGAGGTCGTTTCTGAGAACCCTCGGCGTGTCTCGGGTAGGCTCGGGCGCCCCCCCCCAAGGCCTGCACCCTTGCCTTCCTTTCTGGTGCGCAAGGGCCGTCTGAGGGCGGCGGGCCACGAGCCGACGCGCCGAGGGTCTTGCCTCCAGTGTGAGATTTGTGCGCGTAAGTTCTTGTTGAGGGGGAAGGTCCAAGACTTTTTCCCTGGCCCATGTGCTGGGCCTCCCCACCTCTCCTCTGGCCCTCTGGTCCACCCCCTGTACCCCAGGTGTGCCAGGAGTCATCGTTTGCAAGTTTTGAGAGGTGTTCTTTACTGTTTGCATTGTGGTGCTCATGCAACAGTGAATGCGCAGAGTTTGTCCCAGCCTTGCAAGACTGACAGGCCCCCCTCCAAAGCAGGGAAAGAGGTTCTGTCACGGCTGTCCAGGGGGTTGCCCCCCAAGAGCGGAGGTAAGTTCCCGCATGTCTGATTCTGTTCCAGCGCCCAGGCTAGACCTGGTCTCCGCATGCCTCGTCAGTCAGTCAGTTCCATCCTTCCGTCCTTCCTTCTCCTCCTCCTCCTCCACCTCGTCCTCCTCCTCCTCCTTCTCCTTCCCCTCCTTCCCATCCTCCCCCTCATCATCCTCATCCTCCTTCTCTTCCTCCCTTTCCTCTTCCTCATCTTCCTCCTCACCAGTCTCCTCCTGTTCCTCCTCCCCATTATTCTCGTCGTCGTCGTCCTCCTCCTCCTCCTCCTCCTCCTGGTCCTCCTCCTCGGCCTCCTTCTCCTCCTCTTCCTCCTCCTCCTCTTCCTCCTCCTCTTCCTCCTCCTTCCCCCCCTCCGCCTTCTACTCCTCCTCCTCCGCCGCCTCCTCCTCATCTTCCTCCCCACCTCCTCCTCCTCCTCCTCCTCCTCCTCCTCTCCTCCTCCTCCTCCTCCTCCCCACTATCCTCAGATTCCTCCTGCCCATTCTTCTCCTAGTCCTCGTCGTCCTCCTCCTCCTCCTCCTCCTCCTCCTCCTCCTCCTCTCCTCCTCCTCATGATCCTCTTCCTCCTCCTCCTTCTCTTCTCCTTCTCTTCCCCTCTCCCTCCTTATCCTCCTCTTCCCGTTTCTATATTTCCTCCTCCTCCTCCTCGTTCTTCTCCTCCTCCTCCTCGCCCTCGTACTCGTGTTTCGTCCTCCTCCCCTCTGCCTCCTCCTCCTCCACTCCTCTCCTCCTCCTCCTCCTCTCCTCCTCCTCCTCCCCCTCCCCCTCCCCCCCTCCCACTCCCCTCTCCCTCCCCCCTCCTCCTCCTCCTCCTCCTCCTCCTCCTCCTCCTCCTCCTCATCCTTCTCGTTATCCTTCTCCGCCTCCTCCTCCTCGTCCTCCTCCTCCTCCTCCTCCTCCTCCTCCTCCTCCTCCTCCTCCCCCTCCCCCTCCCCCTCCCCCTCCTCCTCCTCCTCCTCCTCCTCCTTCTCCGCCTCCCCAGTATCCTCTTCCTCCTTCTCCTCCTCCTCCTTCTCCCCCCCTTTTCCCTCATCCTTCGTTCCTCCTCTTCCTCCTCCTCCTCCCGGTTATCCTCCTTCTCCTCCTCTCGCTTCCCTTACGCTCGTGTCCTCCTCATCCTCCTCTTCTTCTTGCGCTCGATGGGGCGGGGAATGCCGTCGCCTGCCTCCCCGAGAGCGGCGGGGGGCTCGTTCCGCGGACAGCGTCAGCCCTCAAGTTGTAGGCTCCGCGTCATAGGTGCGGGTGCCTGCGTTGGCTACGATCCTCGCCTCGCTCGGTTTCCTACCATCGAAACCAATGATAGGAACGGGAAGCCTTCCCAAGGGCACCATTGCATCCTTGCCTCTTCGGCCCATCCTTAACCACTTTCGATGGCCAGTCCTCTCGAAAACCAGCTTGGACATGTGCGTCCAAAGGGCTTGCACCCTTACCGCTCATCCTTACTATAAGTTTTGAGTGTGCGATCCTCGGTTCGCTCGGTTCCCTACCGAGCTTCTTGCCTCTCCCTCTCTCCTCCCTGCTGCTCTCGGGCCGGGCTCCCTCGGGGGAGGGGGGGGGGGTGGGAGGAGGATTTGCTTTGATGTCTCTCCTCCTTCTCCTCCTCGTTCTCTTTCTTCTCCTCCTCATCCTCCTCCTTCCGCTCCTCCTCATCATCCTTCTTCTGCTCCTCTTCCTCCGACTGTGGTGCAATCCATACCCCAGCCCGCTCATAAGGTTACCGCTCGGAATCTGTCAGACTTCTCACATGCACGCCTGCGGTCGCCCGAATGCGGCCAGTAGTTTGCTTAGTATCCCCTATCGGTACCATCCTTATGAGTGAGGTGATTCTGGTCATAGTGGCATATCTCCTCCTCCATCGTCACTGGCGGCCAGCTCATTCACTCTGTGCCGTTGCTGTCTAATCATACTATTCCACTTATAAATGCCTTTCGTTGCTCCGCACTAGCCTGCAGCCCGAAGTACGGGCACCTCGCGCAAGGTTTGCAGTATTGTCCAGTAGACGCTGCGATCTAATCACCTTAGTCCGTGCAGCGCAATCAGAGGCGGAGGAGCACGAGGATCAGTCTATGGAGGGGCAGGGAGAAGAGATCTCTGGCTTTTGAAAAAGTTGAGGACGAGCATGACGAATGAGTGGTCGGGAGAGATGACTGTGATGATGGTGATGGTGACGATGGCGATGACGACGATGATGCTGACGACGCTGATGATGTTGTTGATGATAATGTTGACGATCGTGCTGATGTTGCTGCTGGTGATGATGAAGGTCATGATGCTTAAGCTGATGATGAGGATGATGCTGATTGTGATGAGGAGGATGATTATGATGTTGACGATGCTGATACTGCTGCTGTTGATGATGATGCTGCTGATGACGATGATGATGATGGTGGTAGTGATGATGATGCTGATGATGATGATTCATGATAATGATGGTGTTGATTATTATGATGACGATGCTGATGCTGACGATGATGATGATGATGCTGATGCTGATGATGATGATGATGATGATGATGATGATGATGATGATGATGCGGAGGAGGAGGAGGAGGATGAGGAGCAGGAGGAGGAGGAGCAGGATCAGGAGCAGGAGGTTGACGAATATGATGGGTGAGTCGGAGGGAGGAGTACGTTGACGGAAATTCTGATATGATGCTGTGCTGATGCCCCTGCTCCTCCTTTTCTATCCTGCGTCCTGCGTCCCCCTCCCTCCTTCCCCTCCTTCACGACGGCGGGGACGGGGAGGGCGGGTGTTGTGGCAGGAGGCCGCGACAGTTGCTGTCGCTGCTGTGCCCGCCCCCGTGGCGGATCAGCCGGTGCTGCGGGCGCTGGAGAAAGAGCGGTCGTGAGAAGGGTAATGGCGAGAGGAGAGAGAGGAAGAGAAGGAAAAGGCGGAGTTATCACATTTTCTCTACGTGTCACTTCTTCCCTAATGAGTCCCCGACCCCTTTGTGTTAAGATGAAGGGTGCTCGGCAGGACAAGCGGTTGCAGGACTACCTTCATCAGCCGTTAGCAGCAGCAGCAGAAGGCAGAGGATCTTCATCTGGACAGGTACTACTGCTCGTGATCGAGAAGCTTGGTTTCGCAGCTTTCGCAACGCGGTTCATGGCATTGCCATCCAGGCTGTTGCTGCGGCCAGGTCAGCCAAGGACTTGGCTTTTGAGGCCGCGCTTTCCCTCTGCCACTCCAACCATGTGACCCGCAACAGCTTGGACTCATTCGCGCTGCGCCGAACCCACAGCGCAACGTTGAACTTGAGTTGTCTTTCGCCCATGCAACCTTTACAATTTCATGCTTGGTATGTACTTATACCATGTGGGGAGTTCTGACATACAGCCTCGACATATCATAGGAGCCGCCCTCGCTGAAGCTGAAGTATAATGTGAGCTGATCTGATTCGAAAACCACCAGACCTCCATCCGCGTAGAATCCGGATATTTCCATCTTTCGGGTCCCAGGAAGTGAAGGAGTGAAGCGGGACACTTGTTCTGAAAATTACTGACGCCTTTGCCATCCATCCTGGACGGCGCTTGGAATCTTAAGCTGCAGGACGTACTGCGAGGAGGTAGCGAGTGATAGCAACATGTTGACAACCATCCGCCATTGTGTGATTTTGTGGGCGAGTTAAGGAGCATACGAAGTAAACAAAGTTTTCGGCTGGAGCAGCATCTTGAAAGTGGTCCGCCTTCCATCCGTGGTGCTTCTGGTCTTTTAAGTTGAGAACAGCATGTCGTGACGACGTCTTGGGTGAAACGCCAGGACTGCCCTGCTGCCACGTCTGGTGGACCGAGGGGAAGGAGGAGAAGGATGAGGAGGAGGAGTAGGAGGAGGAGGAGGAGATCATGAGGATAATGAGGATGAGGTGGAGGAGGAGGAGTTGGAGGAGGAAGAAGAGTGAGGTGTAACTGTTGAGGCGGGGCACGATGGTGATGTGTAGGGGGATGACGAGAAGAAGGAGCAGAAGAAGGAGGAGGAGGCGGAGGAGGAGGAAGAGGAGGAGGAGGAGGGACGGATGGATGGATGGATGGATGGATGGATGGATGGATGGGTGGAGGAGGAGGGAAGAGGGAGGACGGATGAGGAGTAGACAGGAGAAGGAGGCGCTTCGGGCCCAGGCCCCTGCGGCGCCGCCGGCGCCTGCTGCCGTGGCACCCTCGCCGCCGGCGGAGGAGGCCGCTGCGGCAGCTGCGGCGCCGACGCCGCCAGCCGAGGGCCGGCGCCCCTGTGGCGCCCGACCGGCGGTGCGATCGCCCGCTGCGGCCGCAGCGCTCGCCGGTCCCCGGCTCCAGCCGCGCGCCCGAGGGACGGCAGATGTCAGGCGATCGCATGCATGGATCAAGGGGGCGTGGATTAGCGACAGGTCCCGTTTCCACGGGAGGTCGCGGGCTTCCGCCCGTCGAGCGAGGCGGCACTGGTTCCGCACTCTGCTCTGGGGAGGGCACCTCCCCCGACGCACGGATTTGGCGGCCGCGCGCCAGATCCATGGATCGCCAGTCCATGCTCTCGCGCCCACGAAGATGGCGACGATAGGGGGGTGTAGGCATAGGGGGGGATGCGTCGGCCCCCAGTCGCCCATGGATCGCAGATCGGGGCCCGATGGCCCCAACCTGCTGAGGGAGGTGCGTATGTACTGTCGGAGGCCTGCAGTGGAGACCCATGCCAGGGAACACCCTGCTTGCCTCCAGGGTGCCGGGGGTTTCTTGGGTTTCGATGGTTTTGACGTGGAAGGCATGACGTTCCCACACCAAAGTCAGTGGGCGTCCTCGGGTCTCAGGGTTGTCTTTCTTGTGGAAGGCTTCTTGTGGTCGAGCTCCTGCTGCATCGCCGATCGGTCGGCGATGTATCGCCGATCCCAGGCCGATGCACCCCCCCTATGCCAGTCCCCCCCCCCTATCGCTGCCCCTCACGAAGGCAGCGGGCGCGGGCCTTCTCGGAAGGCTAAGAAGACCTCCGCCTCTGGTCTGCCGGGAAGTTTTCAGGGCCCTGTCCGAGGCCACGGAGGGCCTCTGCGGAGGCCGGGCGGGTTCCGAGAAGGATCCCCCGCCGCCTCTCGAGGAGGCCTGCCCGCTCTCGCCTGACCCCATCGGCGCGCCGCCGGCGGCCGCTCCGGGCGAGGCTTTCGATGGCAGGCGGGGTGATTTCTGGAGGCCTTCGAAAGGTTTTGATTATATTTCCCTACCTAAGCTCTGCCTAGAGGGTTCTTTCTTTGTTTGCTTAAATGGGCCGGGCAGTGTAGGCCGCCCCGGGCGGTTCCCCCAGTCCCCGCCCCGCGGTTCTCCCAGTTGCGCCCCCTGGGTTCACCCAGCTTAGCTTAGCTTAGCTTAGCTAAGCTTAGCTGGGCTTAGCTAAGCTTAGCTAGGCTGAGCTAAGCTTAGCTAAGCTTAGCTCAGCTTAGCTTAGCTTATCTCATCTTAGCTTAGCTTAGCTTGGCTTAGCTTAGCTTAGCTCAGCTTAGCTTAGCTTAGCTTATCTCATCTTAGCTTAGCTTAGCTTACGCTTAGTTTAGCTTAGCTTAGCTTATATCATCTTAGCTTCGCTTAGCTTAGCTTTGCCTAGCCTAGTTTAGCTTAGCTTTAGCTTTAGCTTTAGCTTAGCTTTAGCTTTAGATTTAGCTTAGCTTTATCTTAGCTTTAGCTTAGCTTTAGCTAAGCTTTAGCTTTAGCTTAGATTTAGCTTAGCTTTAGCTTAGCTTTAGCTTAGCTTTAGCTTAGCTTTACCTTACATTTAGTTTAGATTCAGCTTATATTCAGCTTAGTTTTAGCTTTAGCTTTAGACATAGGTTTAGCTTAGCTTTAGCTTAGCTTTAGCCTAGCTTTAGCCTAGCTTTAGCTCAGCTTTAGTTTAGCTTTAGCTTAGCTTTCGCCTAGCTTTAGCTTAACTTTAGCTTAGCTTCAACTTAGCTTTAGCCGAGCTTTAGCTTAGCTTTAGCTTAGCTTCAGCTTAGCTTTACCTTAGCTTCAGTTTAGCTGTACCTTAGCTTTAGCTTAGCTTTAGCTCAGCTTTACCTCAGATTTACCTTAGCTTTAGCTTAGCTTTAGCTTAGCTTTACCTCAGCTTTACCTTAGCTTTAGCTTAGCTTTAGCTTAGCTTTACCTCAGCTTTAGCTTAGCTTTAGCTTAAATTAGTTTAGCTTTAGTTTAGCTTTAGCTTAGCTTTAGCTTAGCTTCAGCTTAGTTTTAGCTTAGCTTAAGCTTTAGTTTAGCTTTAGCTTAGCTTTACTGTTGCTACTAATGCTGCTTTCTTAGGGGCTCCAACTCCTGGGTAGGGTCGCACTGGGATAATTTCTAAAAGGGAGATAGGTTCGACCACCCTCCCCCCTGGACTTCCCGACTCCCCGGGAACCTATGCAAAACACAAATGATTTTGACCCAATGTCCATCCGACTAGTGTATTCATATTTTCCCAGCCAGGCCGGTATCGGCCCCCCCTCGGCTCCCTTGCAACAAAGATTATGCGCGCGCACTCATTCATCAAAAATCATAAGTTTTTATGACTACCTTGCAAACAACGGGACGAAGTGCACACGCGCGCGTCGTCGCACGCGCATGCCGAAATCCTTAAACAACCTTCGGTTTCGGAAGGACTTCAAAATCGAGTGTCCAAACAACCTTAAAAACACACGGGGTTTCGCAACACGGGTTTTTAACAAAAGCTTGCGCGCTCATGCGAATTCTTAACAACAAGTTGTTCAACATGTTCATAACATGCTACCAAACGGGCTTCGCGCGCGCATGTCGAAATCGTTCGAACGCCCTTGCGCGCGTGCTGGGGTGGCACGATCCGTGTCAAATAGATCCATGCGGGCCACTCTCGCGTGTCTGCCGCGCGCGCATATTTCGAATTCCTCCCAAGACCTTCACCACCGACGCGAAGACGCCGTCACCGTCGCCGGCGCGATCAGCATCGGCACCGTCACTGGCTGCCACGTCGTCGCCGTCAGCATCGTCTCCAACATCGCTAATGGAATCATCGTGTCTACCGTTGCCGACGTTGCCATGATACCGCGCCCGCCCAAGTCGCCGACTCGCACTGAAGTGCCCGCTGGGATGTGCCGAACGGTCAGTGCCACCGCATTCGCGTCGGTCGCGCCAAACTAGCTGGCCGCTGCGCGCGCGAGCATGCGCGGGCTAGCGCGGCCGCAGAGATGCACCAGCCAATACCCAACACTCATCGCAATCGTTCCCGCATGGGTTTTACAAAGCAAGTTGCGGATGGGTGGGTGGCATGATGGCGCGAGCAGTGGAGTTGACAACTTCAAGTTCGGCAACTGAGACTAGGTTGGAGTCACCGCTCAACCCATAGAGACCTGGTCCACTGCTCCCCCCTCTTTGACTTTGCCCTGGCAAACGTCAAACTCTCTGCACGGCTGTCACTGTGTCCGCACGGCTCTTTCTGCTATCAGCATGGCTTTCTCTGTACCCGCATGGGTTCCTCTGCTATTTCAATGGCTTCCTGTGGCTATTCCCCTGGCGTCCAACCAATCGCACAACCATCGTCCAACTCAGAAGTCGATTAAAGTAGAGCCGACAAGAGCAGAGAGAGTAGACCAGAGACGAGCAAATGGACATAATCGAGCAGCGCGGAACATCATAGAGTATAGTAGGAGTAGGCTACGGTAGAATAGGGTATAGTCGAGCATATTAGAGTATACTATGAGAGAGTAGGAGTAGGTTAGGGTTGGGTAGGATGGATTAGACCAGAGTAGAATATACTTGGGTAGATGGTAGAGTAGAGTAGGGTATACTACAGTAGAGTAGAGTAGGGCAGAGCAGGGTAGAGTAGAGTACAGGGTAGTGTATAATAGGGTAGAATGGATGATCATACGTTAGAACAGAGCGCTGTAGGAGTGTAGGAGTGTAGGAGTAGAGTAGAGTAGAGTAGAGTAGAGTAGAGTAGAGTAGAGTAGAGTAGAGTAGAGTAGATAAGAGTAGAGTAGAGTAGAGTAGAGTAGAGTAGAGTAGAGTAGAGTAGAGTAGAGTAGAGTAGAGTAGAGTAGGATAGAGTAGAGTACAGCGGAGTATATAGCAACAGGCAGGGTATAGTATAGTGGGGCAGGGTAGGGTAGGGTAGGGTATAGTAAAGTAAGATGGAGTCGAGCAGAGTAGAGTAGAGCAGGAGGGTAGATGGTAGAATCCAGGCCAGTCTACTCCAACCCAGTGCAGAACATATTATTCTAGTCTGTCCAGTCCAGGCCAGTCCAGCCCAAGCCCGGTTCAGGCCAGCTCAGTTGTTCTAGTCTACCCAGTCCAGGGCTGTATTCTGACCTATTTAGAATCTGCGATGGCAGATTCTGTTATTCCCCCCCCGAGGGCAGGGGGTTTTGTTCGAAGGCCTTTGGCGGTTGTCGCATGCTCCTGGAATTCCTGAATATTCCGATCGTTTTCATAGGTTGTTCCCAGATTTTCGGACGTGTTCGGGAGAGGGGGCAGGAAGCAGGACAGAGGAGGGTGGGAGGAGGAGGAGGAGGAGGATGAGGATGAGGAGGAGGAGGAGGATGAGGAGGAGGAGGAGGAGGAGGAGGAAGGAAGAGGACGAGGAGGAGCAGGAGAAGGGGGACGTGCTCATTACAACCTCGTCCGGCACGGTGCGAGCGCTGACGCTCTCACTTCACACCACGCCGTCCTCTGCACACCTGTCACGGCAGTCCTTTGCCTATTCATCCTTCTCCCGCTTCCTCTCCCCCTCCCCACCCTTCCCCTCCCAAAACATCTCGCCTGCGCTTGGATTTCCTTGAGCAGCTCCGAGTGACAGTACGAGCGCTTTTTTGCCACTGCGGAGGCTGCTCGCGCGATTGGCGGACCAGCATCGATCGACCGCTCGCGTATGGCAGATCCTGCGATTGACCCGCAGTCTTTACCACCGCCGTCCCCAGACCTCTGACGATGTGGTTTCTGTCGCGGCTTGTGACCCGGAGCCATGGACCCCACCTTTGGGACCAGTTTTAAGTCGGACTTGGCCCTCTACAGGAGAGATATTCAAAAATAGTCAAAAAATAATCAGGGGACTAATGATTGACTATTTTTCAGCATTTTGGGGGCACTTTCTGCGTAGTTTTCATTTTTCGCCCACAGTCCCGCTGTAGGGGGACACGCCCGAGCCAAGACCAGTTCTTCGCTGTGGGTGGTCCTCTCCGGCCTGGGCCACCAGCACGGCCCCCGACGGTCGGGAAGCTGTATGGGCAGCGTGTCGTGCTCCGCCGGCTCTGGCCCCCATAGCGCTTCGGTTAAGTCGGGGGTGTCCCCCCTACAGGGAGATTTTCGACAAAATAGTCAAAAAAGACCCCAACCATATTTCCAAAAGGACCAAAACATATTCCCAAAATAGTCCCCAGACTATTTGTTTACTACTTTTAGATTTTCCTCCTGTAGAGGGACGGCCCCGACTTAACGCTTAGCTGTAGCTTAGCTTTAGCTTAGCGTTACTGTTACTACTAATGCTGCTTTCCTAGGGGTTCCAACTCCTAGGTAGGGTCGCACTGGGATAATTTACTATTCCAGATACTCCTCCCGTAGAGGGACGGCCCCGACTCAACGCTTCGGCGCGCGACACGCCCCCCGGGCGCCCACGTCCCGAGCCTCGCCGAGCCTCCCGCCCCCGCGGAGCGGAGCGACGTTGTGCCGCCGGGGCCGCTGTGGCGGCGCGATGAGCAGCAGTGCCCACGCGTAGGCAGACGTGCTCGCGGCACGACGATGCTGCTGCTGATGCTGATGATGATGCTGATGATGCTGCTGATGATGCTGATGATGATGATGCTGGTGATGGTGGTGATGATGCTGATGATGATGCTGATGATGATGATGATGCTGATGATGGTGATGCTGATGATGGTGGTGATGATGATGATGGTGGTGATGATGCTGATGATGATGATGCTGATGCTGATGATGATGATGATGATGATGGTGGTGATGGTGATAGTGATGGTGATGGTGAACATGATGATGATGCTGATGTTGATGCTGATGATGCTGATGCTGATGACGATGCTGATGCTGATGCTGATGCTGATGCTGATGTTCCTGATGATGATGATGCTGATGACGATGCTGGTGATGCTAATGATGCTGATGATGCTGCTGATGATGCTGATGATGATGCTGCTGCTGCTGATGATGATGATGATGATGATGATGATGATGATGATGATGATGATGATGATGAGGAATGGGCTCCAGTAGGCACCGCGGTCGGCACGAGAGATCGGAGCTGTGCGACCTGGGCCGTCGCCGGGGAGGCGAGCGATAGGCGCAGCCTGGAGCGCTCGGGACCAGCACGCCCAGACGCGTGCGCGGCTCAGAAGGCCTGGCCCGGTCGCAGCGCGGTCGGACTGTGAGATCAGAGATGTGCGGCCGGAGCCCGCCGCCGGGGAAGCCGAGTGACGCGGCCGAGAGAGGCCAGTACAGCCTGGAGCAGCTCACGGACAAGCGGCAGTGGGAGAAGTTGGACGTGACGCCGACCGAGCGGGATTCGAAGATGAGGAGGGCGGAGAAGGGATGGAGAGGAGAAGGAGGATGGGGAGAAGAGGAGGGAGGAGGAGGAGGAGGAGGAGGAGGAATAGGAATAGGAATAGGAATAGGAATAGGAATAGGAATAGGAATAGCAATAGAGGTCGGAGGAGGAGCCTATGAAGAGGAGACACGGGTGGAGAGAGGGACCGAGAGGAGGAGAGAATGATGAGGAGGGGGTGGAGGATGGGGTTGAGGAGGGGAGGGAGGCAGGAGGAGCGAGGCAGCTGAATGGAGGGAGGGACTAGAAGGGCAGGGACGGGGGAGGAGGAGGAGGAGGAGGAGGAGGAGGAGGAGGAGGAGGAGGAGGAGCAGGAGGAGGAGGAGGAGGAGGAGAAGAGTAGGAGGTGGAGGAACGATGATTATGATGACGATGATGATGATACTGATGATGATGATGACGATGATGATGACGATGATGATGCTGATGATGGTAATGATGGTGATGATATGACGGTGCTGACGATGATAATAATACGCTGATGATGATGATGCTGATCATGATGATGATGATGATGATGATGATGATGATGATGATGATGATGATGAGAAGGAGGAGGAGGCTGAGGAGGAACAAGGTGGAGGAGGAATAAGGAAGGATGAGACAGGAGGCACATGAAGGATGATGGTGATGACGCTGATGCTGATGGTGATGATGAGGATGGCGATGGTGGCGATAATGATGATGCTGGTAATGATCATGCTGATGATAATTATGATGATGATGATGACGACGACGATGATGATGATGATGATGATGATGATGATGATGATGATGATGATGATGATGATGATACTTAAGCTGATTCTGATGCGGATGCTGGTGCTGACGATTATGATGATGATGATGATCATGCTGCTGCTGATGATGATGGTGGTAAAAATGATGGTAGTAGTGGTGATGACGTGGTGATTCTTGTAATGGTGCTAATGGTGACGATGGTGATGATGTTGCCGATGATGATGGTGATGATTGGTGATGATGATGAGGTGATGGCATGACGAGATGATGTTGATGAAAACGATAATGATGATGGTAATGATGGTCATGATGATGATGATGGTGATGATGATGATGGTGATGCTGATGATGATCATGATGATGCTGATGTTGATGATTATTATGACGATGGTGGTGATGATGAGGATGGGAATTATGACGACGATGCTGCTGCTGCTGATGATGATGGCGATGATGATGGTGATGCTGATGCTGATGCTGATGCTGACTACGACGACGACGCCGCCGTCGACGGCGACGACGAGGACTACGACGACATCGACGACGATGATGATGATGATGCCTATATTGGTGGTGGTGGTGATGATGCTGAAGCAGATGATGACGATGATGACGATGATGATGATGACGACGATGATGATGATGATGACGATGGTAATGATGACCACGGCAACGATGATGATGCTGATGATGATTTTGATGTTGATGATGATCATCATCATCATCATGTTGGTGATGATGGTCATGGTGGTGATGGTGATGATGACGACGACGAATATGATGATGCGGCTGATGGTGATGATGATGATGATGCTGACAAAGACTATGCTGCTGATGATGAAGATGACGATGATGATGAGGATGATGCTGGTGATGGTGATGCTGAACCTGATAATGATAATGATGACGCCGACGATAATGCTTATGATGATGGATGATGGTGCTGCTGCTGATGATGCTGATGACGATGATGATGATAATGATGGTGATGATGATGAATATGATGATGATGATGATGATGATGTTGATGATGATGATGATGATGATGATGATGATGCTGCTGCTGATGATGATGATGATGATGCTAATGATGAGGATGACGATGATGATGATGATGATGTTGATGATGATGATGCTGATGATGATGATGATGATGATGATGATGATGATGATGATGATGGTGGTGGTGGTGGTGGTGTTGTTGTTGGTGGTCAGGACAAAGAGGAGGAAGGATGGCGACTTCAAAGAGGACTGTTGAGAGAGCGAGGGGGTTGAGGAGGAGGGGGAGGGGGGAGCGAAGGGTAGGATGGTGATGAGGAGTAGGGTAGCGGAAGGTAGTAGGATAATGTGGAGGACGCTGAGGATTAGAAGCGATGACGGGGAGGAAGGAGCGAGGAGGGAAGGAGGTGTCGATCGGAGTTCGCTTCAAGTGGTCAATCCTATGCTGTCTGTCAGTCAAGCGCGCGTCCCATGTGTGCACCGTGTGCAAGCCCCCTTTCGCACGAAAGGGACCCACTAAGCTCTCCACCCCCCCGTGTCAGCGGCGTCAGGCGACCGATTGGAGGAGCCCAGCGAGAGCTGAGAGCGAGGCCGAGCCCCTGGGGCAGCCTGTGGGGCCCGCCGAAGGGGGTGCCTCCGCCTTCGCGTCCCGACTTGGCTCGCGCGGAGTCGCTCTCGCCGCCTGGTCGGGAGGAGGCGAGGGAGAGGGGGAGGAGGCGGGGGCGGGGGTGAGCGGGGGGATGCGCAGTGGTTCTCTGGTTCGACAGCGTCGATGCGAAGCTCTTCCTCGTCAGCGTCGGGTGGGGCCACTCCGGATCCGCCTCACGTTTCGGGCGACGTCGCAATCAGGGCGGGCATCCCCGCCCTGCTCTCCAAGCAGATCGACCACAGCAGGCCGGATCCGAAGTCATCGCTTGGCGCCGGGGTCGGCCACAAGGACCAGGTCGTCGGGCCCTCGGGAGATGGGCCCCGGCCCCGGCCCCATCGGGGCAGCGCGGGCGCCAGCGAGGGCGGGCGGAGGCCTCCGCCCTCTCGGGCTAGGGCCGAGAGCGCTCGGCGCGCGACGGCAAGGGAGGCGGAGGAGGCGGAGGAGGAGGAGGAGGAGGGAGGAGGAGGAGGGAGGAGGAGAAGGAGGGGGGAGATGGGGGAGGAGGGGGAGGGGGGGTGGGGAGGGGGAGGGAGGGGAGAGGTTGAGGGGGAGGGGGAGGAGAGGACTGGCCTCGTTCTCCTGGGTGGGGCCCCCCGCGAAGCGAGTCCCGCAGGCCGGGCGCCCCGGGCGGCCCGTCGGGCGCCCGGGGGCGGGGCTCCGCGGGCCCCCCCCAGGGGGCGGAGCTTCCGAGGAGGCGAGGCCCCCGAAGGCCTCCGCGGCAGGGACTCGGCGAGGGCCCCGCGGAGGCCCAGGAGGCTTGACCTTCTTGGGAGGAGGAGGAGGAGGAGGGAGGAGGAGGAGAGGAGGAGGAGGAGGGAGGAGGAGGAGGAGGAGGGGGAGGATGAGGAGGAGGAGGAGGAGGAGGAGGAGGAGGAGGAGGGTGAGGAGGAGGGGGAGGAGGAGGAGGAGGAGGAGGAGGAGGAGCAGGAACAGGAATGTAGGGATAGGAGCAGGAGTAGGAGGAGGATGAAGGGGAGGCACGGGTGAGGAGAGGGCCTTCTTGGCAGCTGCCTTTGGGCCCTACCCCCCCCGCCCCCCCGCTGGCCCCTCTGTATCCGGAGGCGTGGCGCGGTGGGGCCCTCGCGCGTGCGCGCGGCGCCCGCGCCCGTGTGCGGCGGCCAGCCGGGCGTCGGGGCCCTTCGTGCGCGAAGGCCAGCTGGGCGCGCGAGGAGGGCGCCGCAAGAGTGGTCGGTCCTTACGATTCCGTGGGTCTTTCGTATGACAAGGGCGAGTCGTCCTCGCGATGCGAGGGGGTGGCGCGTATGAGTCGAGAGGGTCGTTCTTGCGACGGCTGTTCTTCGGACAGCGTGGGCGGTTCTTTAAATGCGTGCTGGTCGGGGGCGGCGACCGCGACCACCGGACGGCGCAGCGGAGCGGCTGCCACGTCCACGGCGTCACCGCGTGCTGGCGCCAGCGGACCGGGATGGGTGGCTCCATCCAGGCGGCCGACCTGGTGCGCATGCGGGCGCCTAGGAGCAGCACTATCGCCTGCGGCAATGGGTTGCCGACCAGCAGCTGCAGCCGTTGCCGCACCGTCGCCGCCAGGATGCCCCAGCAGGGATCGTGAGTGCGCAGCGGCGGCGGCCTTGGCAAGTCCGACCACCGCTCGGCACTGCAGGTCTCGCATGGCTGCTCTCCTCCTGGGATGACCACCTGGAGCTTCTTGATGGCCACCTCGAAGACTACCAGGTTGGTCGCGTCGATATCCACTTCGGTTCAATCCTCATCACTGTGATATGGAGAAGTATGCGACAATATGTCATTGTAGGCGGTCTTGGATGTCCTGAGCAAAGCGGAAGCTACAACGCAGATTCAGGTTGAAGATCTCTTTCCGCGTTATGGGGCACGGGATCTGCACGGTGGTGTTGCCCGTGTAGCGGTTCGTCTTGAGCTGGTCCAGATCGTGCTGCTCGAGCAGCTCCGTCACAACCACGATGGGCGGAGATGCCTCTTGTGGGCGGCCGGGAACTTTAGCTTTAGCGTGTCGCTCCGCCAGTTCTGGCCAACCACGCTTCGGCGCGACACGCTATCCTCTTCTCAGTCGCAAGGCGTCAACGACCCGAGCCTTTCCTGACCTCCCGCGCCGCGGACCGGAGCGATACGCTGCCCGCTGGCCAGGCATAGCGTGTCGCCAGGGCCGCCGCCGCGACACGCTATCCAAAACTGACTGTAGCTCGAGCGGCTCTGTCACAGCCACGACGGTCGGGTGTGCCTCTGGTGGGGCCAGCAGTGTGTCATGCTGGCCCCAGCAGCGTCGTCGGTCAGCTGGTGCGCCCACCCTGCGACTATCAGGCTACAGTCGGGGCCCTGGAGAAGGAACCCTTTTCGTTGGGGAGCGGCTCCGCGTTCCTTAAGTGTTTCACAGCTTGCCTCAGGTTTTCCTTATGTCTTCGATGGGAAATCGAAGTGTAACTTATGGAAAAAAGGGGCCTCGCTCCTTATTTAGGGTTCCTTAGGTCAACGCCCCGACTGTATCTTCGCCAGAGGCCCTGCCGCTCTTGCTGCGGCGATGTCCACCGGCTACGCGTTGGAGTGACCGTTCGCCGGGGAGCGCGTGGCCTCTGATGCGGGCCCGCGGGGGCCCCCCGCAGCGCTCGCCCTGCGCGCCTGGATGCGGCGCCACCGTGGCCCCCTAAAACTGCGCAGCGCGGGCCACTTTTGCCTATAGGGTCACTCTTATCGGGCCGGGCGAAAGGGGGGGAATAGGGAAAGGGGGGGTTACAGAATCTGCTGCACGCAGCTGGTTTCGGCCCGTCACGGAGGGGCCCATTCCTCGATACATGGGCGCCTTTGGGCGCCGGGAGGTGCCGGGAGAATCAGCTACGTGAGCTGATCTCTCCCCCCCCCTTTGCTATCCCCCCCTTTCGCCCGACCCGAGCTTACGTGTGCCCGAGCCCCCTCGCTTGCGGAGTTCTCCTCTGGGCAGCGGTGCGGTCTCGAACCTTGCGCTCGCGGCCCTGGAACTCGCTAGGGGCGTGCCCGCGAGCACCGCGAGGAGGAGGAGGAGGAGGCACACGGGCAGAGCGCATGCGGGTCCGATCGATCCGACTCGGTCATGTCTTCGGCCAGCAGGATTCGATTCGATTTCCATTCCCTGGTGTCCTTGGCATCGCTCGGACGTGTGCATTTTTCCTTCGGCGAGGACCATCGAGGAGCATCCTTGATCATTTGGCGAAAAAGCCAATCACGAAAGCGAAAAAAGCACAGGGAATGGACGTCCGAGCGATGGCCAGTGTCCCGATGCGGCCCGATGCCGCTCTGGCGCTGTTGGGCAATCTGGTGCCGCCGATCCGATTCGGTTCCGACTTTGTGCCGATGCGTCCCGATCCGACGCACGTTCCGATCCGATGCGAGTTCCCGATTCGATGCTGACCGATCTTTCCTGGGCGGCACCGTTGCAGCATGTTCAACCAGGCGGTGGGCTCGCTCAAGCTGCACCATACAGGCGGAACGTCGCGTAGCTCCCTGCAACCATCTCCTCGCAGCTTCTGTCATGGCCCCCAGCGCTGTCTCGAGACGCGGGCGCGCAGCCCTTGCCGTCGTCAGAGGCCAGCTGTGCACCATGGGCGCTGCCGTCGCGAAATCCGGCCTGGCATGGTCTCCACGGGCAGCCCGAAGGCACGGCCCGCTCGAGTCGACCGAGGCACTCCGGCGACCTGGGCCGACCGGCAGCGCGCGGAGGCCGCCGCCGCTGCTGCCTGCGCGCGGCAGCCCCGCTCCCCGCCTGCCGGCTGCAGCTCCTCGGCGGGGCGGCGCAGGTGCCTCCGGGTGGTCTCCGAGGCCACGGCGGCCTTCTCCCACGGCTGCGGCCAGGAGCTTCTGCTCCGCGTGGCGCGCCGCCGGCTCTGGCCCACCACGTGTCGGCGCGACACGCTGACCTCGGGAGGTCTGAATTTTTGGGGGGGCCCCTCCCCCTGTTTTTTCTCTCTCGGCGGGAGCGAACTTGCCACTCTTCCTGCTCCTCCTGCCCCTCTCCTCCTCCTCCTGCTGCTCCTCCTCCTCCTCCCCTCCTCCTCCGCCTCCTGCTCCTCCTCCTCCTCCTCCTCCTCCTCCTCCTCCTCCTCCTCCTCCTCCTCCTCCTCCCGCTGCTCCTTGTGGTCGTCGTCGTCGTCGTCGTCGTCGTCGTCGTCGTCGTCGTCGTCGCGGCGGAGTTCATTTTCCCTCTATTCCTGGGTAGGCCGGATAATGTTGGGGGGTCTCTTTCTCCCAGGGAATGATTTATTGTGGGCTACCCTGCACGAAAGAGAAGTCGTGAGCATCTTCTCATGAGGATTGCAATCGGAATCCGTGGTTGTGGTCGCAGTCGTGATTGTAGCCGTGGTTGCAATCGTGATTGTAATCGTGATTGCAGTCGTGATTGTAGTCGTAATCGCTGTCGTGGTTGTAGTCGTAATCGCAGTCGTAGTCGTAATCGTAGTCGCATTCGTCGTCGTCGTCGCGTGGTAGATCATTTTCCATCTATTGCTGGGCGGGCTGAATAATGTTGGGGTTTCTTTCCTCCAGGGAATACTGCTCCCTGGGTCACCGTGCGCGACAGAGAAATTTTAAGCACGTTTGTAAGGGGATTGCAATATAGGTCGACACATGTTTTGACCGAAGGCGTTGCTCACAATCCCCTCCCTCATTTCGTCGTCGTCGTCGTCGCTGTTGAGCGGCGGGTGCCACGGATAATTCATTGTTCTCCCTTATTGGCGGGACCCCAGTCCGTCAATAAGGCCGCCGAAGACGTGACTTGTTTCCACTAGTGGGGGGGGGGGGTCTCAAGACCTGTGGGGTTCCCCGCTTCCCAGCCCCCTATGCGCCAGTGCCCCGAGCCTTCTCCCAGCCTCCCGCACTGCAGAGCGGAGCAACGCGCTGTCCGCCTGCCATGCATATAGCGTGCCGCCCTCGCCGCCGCCGCGACACGCCAAGCAGCAGCTCCCGACCGCACCGGGGCAGATACCCAGAGGCGGGCCCAGAGGAGGAGGAGGAGGAGGAGGAGGAGGAGGAGGAGGAGGAGGAGGAGGAGGAGGAGGACCAGGGCAGCCGCGCCACTTCCGGCATGGCACGGCCGGCCTGGCACGGCCAGCCCTGGGGAGGACTCGGTGCCGTCCTCTGCGTGCGGGCGCTTCTCTGGCTCGTGCTCGTCCCAGGCCCCCGGCGTGCCGGACGAGCGCGCTCGAGGTGGCCGCTCGATAGGCCGCCATGGCCATCCGCGGTGCACGGCGGCACGCACGTGTGGACTGCTTGGGCGGACGGGTCCTTGCAGCAGTGTAAGACGAGGGTCAATCTGTCCTGGCGCGCGAGCTAGAGGCCGTGCCCAGGTATGGAGTCCCCGCCGACGAAGGCGACGAGGGCCTCGGATTTGTCCAGGTTCACGATGAGCATGATGCCGTGTTCAGCGAATGCGGCCAGCACGACACCGCCGACAAGCGCCAGCGCATTTGCAGCCATGTGCGCGGGGTAAATGCAGAAGTAGGTCCCGTCGTCGGCGGAGGCAATGTTGTTAGATGGGATCTCGACCCAGTCCATGTCTGCATTCGTCTGGTGTTGGTCGTGATAGTAACGATGCTGATGCTGATGCTGATGCTGATGCTGATGCCGATGATGAGGCTGCTGCTGCTGATGATGATGAAGATGATGACGATGACGATGACGATGATGATGAAAATGATGACAATAATACGAGTGATGATAACGACAACGACGATGACGATGCTGATGATGATGATGATGGTGGTGGTGGTGCCGATGCTGATGCTGATGCTGATGCTTATGATGCTATCATCATAATGGTAATGCAGCTGGTTATGAGGATTATGCGGATGATTATGACGGTGATGCTGCTGATGATGATGACGATGATGATGATGATGGATTTTGATGAGGGTGCCGATGCACATTATGATGATGAACATGATGATGTTAATGATGATGGTGATGATGATGATGAGGATGAGGATGATGAGGATGATGAGGATTACGATGATGATGACGAGGAGTAGGATGAGGATGAGGATGAGGATGAGGATGATGAATATGATGATGATGATGATGATGATGATGCTGATGCTGATGCTGATGATGATGATGATGATGATGACGATGATGATGGTGATGATGATGATGATGGTGATGACGCTGCGATGACGTTGATGTTGAGCGTGACGATGATGATGATGATGATGATGATGATGATGAGATGATGATGATGCTGATGATGATGATGAGGCTGATGCTGATGCTGATTCTGATGCTGATGCTGATGGTGCGATCACAATGTATGAGAAAACGGTGAGACGGTGGTGGCTGTGGTGATGTATGATGAATTATGATGAATGGTGATGATGGTAGTGATAGCTGATGTTGATGCTTTTATTTTTTGATTTGTTGTTTGTTTTTTGTTTTTGATTTGTTTTTTGTTTTTTTTTGCTGTTTTTTGATTGTTGTTGTTGAGTTTGATTGATCGATTGTTTTTGATGGCTTTGTGTTTTGTTTGGTTTTTGTTTTTTTTTTTGTTTTGTTTGATGATTTGTTGTTTTTTTTTGGTGATTTTGTGCTGTGATTTGTTTTTTGTTGTTGTTTGATTGATTTTTTTTTTGATTTTTTTGTGATTTTTTCTTTGTTGTTGATTTTGTGATTTTTTTTTTTGTTTGATGGATTTTTTTGATTTTTGTGATTTGATGCGCTGGCTGCTGCTGCTGCTGAGGAGGAGGAGGAGGAGGAGGAGGAGGAGGAGGAGAGGAGGAGCTGAAGGAGGGTGAGAAGGAAGAGGATGGGGGGGTAGGAGTCGGAGGGTGCCGAAGAGAGGAGACTTTCCTGCCAGACGCCGTGTTCGTGGAGCTCTTCGGCATGGGCAAGGCGGAGTTCGCGAAGCTCCCGAAGTGGAAAAAGGATGCCAAGGGCAGCGAAAATCATTGTGATGGCGAGGTTCGCCCCCCTCCTCCTGCCCTCTTCCTTTCTGTCACCCTCTTTCTCCCACTCCGCCTCCTCGCCCTCCCCTTTCTCCCCCTCCTTGCCCCCCCGCCCCCCCCCACAGGCGGGAGGGGGGCTTGGAAGAGGAGGGGGAAAAGGAGTAGCAACAGGAGGAGGAGGAGGAGGAGGAGGAGGAGGAGGAGGAGGAGGAACGGGGAGGCCCAATCTCACCGCCACATTGTTTTTCGCTGACCCGAAGGACAACGCAAAGAAGAAGCACGGGCTCTTCTAGCGGAGGTACCGAAAAAGTGTACACGTCTCGTCGTCATTATCGTCATCTCTCCGTCATCGTTCTTCTCCTGCTCCTCATGCTCCTCTTGCTCGCCTGGTTGGCGGTTGGTAGCCGTTGCTGTAGCAGTTGTCGCTGCCCTTGCCGCAAGGGCCCAGGCTTCCGTGCGGATAGCGCTGGCCGCGAAGCCGTGGTTGACCCTGCATCGTCGGCTCGGATGCTGCGGCTGTCGTCGGCGTCGCAGTCGCAGTCGCCGCTCCGGTTCGATCGTCTCGGTGGTCGTCGACGGTCGGTCGGTCGGTTGTCGGCTCGGTTGTCCCGACGGTCGTCGGCGGTCGTCGTCACCGTCGCAGTCGGCGTTGTCCCCGTCTTCGTGGCTGCGGTCACTGCGGTAGTCGTTGGGCATCTAGGTGCTCCTCCTCGCCGTTCTCGGCGTCGTCGTCGCCGCGGGCCTGCAGGGTGGCGACAGCGCCGTCGTGGAAGAGGGCGCAGGCGTCGTCGTGGTGGTCGTGGCGGTGGTCGTCATCGTCGTCGTTGTCGTCGACGTCGTCGTTGCAGCTGACGTCGTCTTCTTCCCCGTCGTCGTCGGGTCGGCTGGTTGTAGGGCCTTGGGGCAGGTCGTATGGGGGCCGTCGGAGAAGCGTTCGGCGTGGGGGACTGCAGGGGTCACAGGGGTTCGAAAGGTTGTGGGGGGTCGCGAGCGTCGTGGGCGTATTCGCCGCGGTCGTCCCGAAAGATACTCGCCGGGAGATTCGGTACGAATTCCGTCGCATTACCATGCGTATGGAATGGTCCGTGAAGTCTGCTGTTGTTCGGGATGAACTCCGGGGCATTTGGCCCTGACATCTGGAATCTGTCTTTGTGGAACTGTTGGCTCCCGTCGAGCGTATGGTGGTGCTTGCCGAAACAGCAGTGGTTGTTGTGTGCGTGGCGCGCTCTAGTAAATGTGGCCGTGCACACTTGACATCTGCCATGCCTGCCTTTGTTTTCCCCGTTCTCGCGGTGCGCCCCAGCCTGCGTATGGCTCGAGAGAACTGCGTGTTTGTGAAACCGGATCCGATCCGGCTTAAACAATTGCGCGTTGTTGAAGGTGGATCCGGCCGGTTTCGAAAACTCAGTGTTTTTGAAGCCCCGCCCTTGTTTTCCCCGTCCTCGCGATGCACCCCAGTCTGCGTATGGCTCTCGTGGCGGGAGCCTTCGCTGGAGTCTGCAGGGCAAGTCCATGGGATGCAGTGGTCATGATGGGAGGGGTCGGCAGAGAGGAGGGGGCCTCAGAGCGAGGCCTGCATCCCCCCTCGCCATCAAACGCCAGCAGCCCTCGAAAATTGCGACGGTCTCGCAGCTCGTACCCCAGCCCCCGGGCAGTGAGGTCGAACCTGCATCTTCGCAGGACGCCGCCCAGCTGGACCCCCCAGCAGCCGCCCTCGGAAGTGGCGCCTGTGTCGCAGTCCGCACGCCCCCCCTCCCCCCGGCAGCGAAGTCGAACCTGGATCTGCGCAGGACGTCACCAGATTCGACCCCCAGCAGCTGCCTCCCCCCCCCGACGCCCACTGTCATGGTTCGCGTCGAAACCTTGCGACGCATGTGTTCCTTCGGACAGGGCGGGCCGCGTTGCGCGCTCCGCTGCACAGTGAAGTCGGCAGGGACGAGGGGGACGTGCGTTTGTTGGTCGCTGTTTCCCAACCATCCTGTGGTGGTGGGTCCTCGTTTTGAGGAGACGGTCCCCGCGTTCCTCTGCTCCTCCTCTTCCCCCTCCTCCTCGCCGCCGCCCGCATGCGTCCCCCCCACACCCATGTCGGCACATCCCTCACACGCTTCGTGGCCCCACAGGGAGCTCCACCGAAGCCCCCAGCGGGACCGCCCGCATGCGTCCCCCACACCCAATTTGGCATTTCCACCCAGTACAGCGTGTCGTGGCCCCATAAGGAGCTCCACCGAAGCTCCAAGTGGGACCGCCCGCATGCGCCCCCCACGCCCAATGTGGCATTTTCACCCACCCCGTACAGCGTTTCGTGACCCCATAGGGAGCCCCACCGAAGCCCCCAGTGGGACCGCCCGCATGCGTCCTCCACACCCAATTTGGCATTTTCACACGCCCAGTGCAGCGCTTCGTGG